TCATGGAGCAGCACAACAGAGGAAATCAGGTGTCAGGCTAGAAAAAGGTGCAAGTGTGTGGTTCATTAGGCTGCAAGAAATCATGGAGGAGCACACTGAAGCGCACGCTTACAAACCACTGGTAAGTGCTGACTACAAGTCATGACTTCAAATTGTTATATAGAATGATTACAAATTATTTGTTGTTTGTGCAGCTTAGTCAAGAGTCCCTAATTGATGAAGTCGACTCAGATTCTGACGATTTAACTGTCAAGAAGAAACCTGTAAAAAAGTATGGAAAAAGAAAAATCCAAAACACTTTTCTTCAAGACTCGGAAAGTGACGAACCAAAGGCAAATAAGATTGTTATCATGCAGCTGCAAAAGAAGAAAAATGGGGGGCGAGTATACAGCAAGAGACACTTCTGCCTCTACTGTTCAATGTCCTGCCACAAAATGTCCCGTCATTTGACTAGAAAACATGGAAATGAAAGTGACGTAGCCAGAGCATTGGCTCTACCTGTGAAATCTAAAGCACGTAAACTTCAGTTTGATTTGATCAGGAATAGTGGAAACCGTGAGCACAATTTTGAGGTTTTAAAGGCCGGCATTGGAACTTTAGTCCCAGCTAAACAGCCAAATTCCCCAGTTAAATCCAGTGAGTTTTTGCACTGTATAGACTGTGGGGCATTGCTTAAGCGAAAGTCGCTGTGGAGGCATGTGGCCAGGTGCCGGCTTTCACAGAAAGATGCCCAGGCTAAACCAGGTAGAAGTAGGGTCCAGTCCCTCTGCTCCCTAGCCCAGCCTGTACCGGAGGGCATCAGCAAAAAGCTGTGGTCTTTAATTTCGGCAATGCATCAGGATGAGGTCACGGGTGTTGTCAAAGCAGAAAAGGGGATTCTGAGACTCGGAGAGCACCTGTACTTAAAACACGGGCATGATAAGACTAAGCATGATTACATTAGGCAGAAAATGAGAGAAGTCGGTAGGTTAATTAACGAAGCAAAAACCGCAGGGAAACTGAAAACAATTAAGGATTTCTTTATTCCTTCCAACTTTAACCATGTGATTGATGCAGTCAGGTCTGTGGCTGGATATGATGAGGAAACAAATCAATACAAGACTCCATCCTTGGCCCTCAAACTCGGCCATAGCCTCAGAAAGCTAGCAGATATTCTTGAATGTGACTCAAAAATGGAGCATTGTGTTGATGAACTATTTATTAAAAACCTCCAACGAAGCCGGCTGCTTTTTGAGAAGAGGTGGGACGTCTGTGTTTCTTCTGCTGCCCTACAGACCCTCCGGCAAGCCAAGTGGAACACTCCGGACCTGCTCCCTCTGACTGAGGACGTTAGAGCCATGCATGCACATATTGAGGTATGTCGACCTGAATATGTGCAAACCCTAATAAGTGAGCCAACGTCTAAGCATTGGTCTAAACTGGCAGTTTTGACTCTTTGTGAGGTCATCATTTTCAATCGAAGAAGGGAAGGTGAGGTTTCAAAGATGCCACTGACAGCCTTTACCTTAAGAAGTAAGACTGGGATCCATTCTGACATTGCTCTGGGACTGTCCCAACTTGAGAAAAAGCTGTGTCAGCATTTTCAACGCATTGAAATTAAAGGGAAAAGAAGTCGGAAAGTGCCGGTTCTTTTGACTCCTGAAATGATTGCTTCGATGGAGGTGCTGGTGGAGAACAGAAGGGCCTGTTCCATCTCTGACCATAACCCATACTTCTTTTCCCGCCCGGGCGCAGACACCCACATCAGGGGATCAGACTCCCTACGCCAGGTAGCCAAAGAATGTGGTGCGGTGCATCCAGAGATGCTATCCTCAACCAAACTTAGAAAGCACATAGCTACTATGTCTACAGTTCTCAATATGAAAGAGAATGAGATGGACATACTTGCCAACTTCCTCGGCCATGACATTCGCATCCACAGGCAATATTACAGACTACCAGAGGGGACACTGGAGCTGGCCAAAATCAGCAAAGTGTTGATGGCCATGGAGCAGGGAAGAGTGACGGAATTCGAAGGAAAGAGCCTCGACCAGATACAAATTGAGCCTGAAGGTAATTCTTGATATTATTAAAATATGTATGATTTTTTTCCCCTAAAGGCCACTTGTATTTTTATTTTCTGTGCGACAGGGAGAGCAGTAGAGATCCTCTCACAAACGGACGGGCTAAAAGAAACTTCAAGCGGAGAACCTTCAACCATTCATCCAGATGCACCCCATGGTAGTGGCAGTGCCCCTTCTGGTAAGTGTACCAGGTGGGGGATTACAGCCAGGCTGCTTGGTCCTCACCCTGGGAGTGTATATCGCTAATATATTTTTATTTCTCTCCCTAGAACGTGTAAGAAAGCCATGGTCTGCATCTGAGGTGAAGGCTGTGGAGAAGACCATGACACCTTTCATACAGACTGGAAAGGTCCCTGGGAAGTCTCACTGCCTGGCCTGCATTAATGCCTCACCAGATGACCTTAGACATCGGACATGGAGTGGCATTAAATTCTATGTCAAAAATAGAATCACTGCAATTCGAAAACAAAATCTAAAATAAAATTCCTTTAAAATAGTTGTTTGGTTTCTATTGACTGTTTTGTATTACTTAAAGTCTTGGTAAAAAAAGATTATGTCTATGGGTCCCATTCTGAACGGCCCTGTCAAAGGGACCCACCAGGTAACAAAAACGTGTATGGGTGTGTGTGCGTGTGTGTTTGTGGGATTGTGTGTGTGTCTGTAAGTGCATGTGTGTGTGTTCATTTTCCTTAGCAATGGCTGAGTGTAAAGTGTGTGTCTCTCTCTCTCCTGCTCCAGTTCGTGGTCATTCTCGAAAGTGTCTTGGCCAAAATCTCCAGATATGACGAAGGAACACTCTTCTCTTCTTTCCTATCTTTCACAGTAAGTTCTCAACCAACATTTGCTACTTTTCTTTTCAATAAGCTTGGATTAGTTTGTGTTTGAACCCCACGCACTAGTGATTTAGTGTATTTCAAGAGTAAAGCGGAGAAAAGTTCTAACTGTGGTTCTCTTCCGTCCGTAGGTGAAAGCGGCCTCAAAGTATGTGGATGTTCCTGTAAGTGACACATTCTTAAAGGAGCCGTTTGTAAAAATGTGGCCAAAAGTGGTACTGCAGCCTCTCCCACTCTCCCTGACTCAGGTTGCCAGATATGCAGACGAATCCAGCTGGGACCATAACAGCTGAACAGACAAGAGTTTAGTCAACAACAAATCTATAACCAACACCTTTTTCACAAAGATAGAAATCCTGGTTTTATTCCTTATTTTGTCATTAATGATTTGAGAATCATAACGAGACCTTTTTTAGTTCTGCGCCACATGGTACTTTACCAGTGAGATCAGCTCCACACGGTGAGTTCTGGCGCCCGGATCACAGACTTTCTGATTGGTGAAACGGTGGAGGGCGGGACATCGAAATGAAAACAATAACAAGATTTAGAGGCTGGAAAAGTAATTTAGAAATTCAAATATCTCTGAACTACTGTTATCAGTTAAATAAGTATTGGAAAAGAGAAGTTTATTATTATCACAGATTAGGGCCCTTTAATGATGACAGATTAGGGCTCTTTAATGATGACAGATCAGGGCCCTTTAATTATGACAGATTAGGGCCCTTTAATTATGACAGATTAGGGCCCTTTAATTATGACAGATTAGGGCCCTTTAATTATGACATGACATGAAAATCTTACAAATTGCTACTTTAAAGCTGAGGTATCAAATTTTCAAACTACAAAATTGGAACTAGATGAAATCCATTTAACTAGTTCCTGGCACTCAGATTGAGTTTCCTCGTGAATGTACAGTATTTTTTGGCCTCTTTAGGTTGCCTTTTTCAGACAGAAACATGAAAAAGAGAGGACCACCCTCACTCAGCCAATCAGCTGTCAGGACATCGCAGGGCTCTTTTTTATGTCACGCTCCGCCAGGGCAGACGTGTCGTTGCGCCGAAGCAGCAGTGGGTACGGCGGCTAGAGGCAGCGAAAGCAGGAGATGATGTCTGTCGTTGTGTCCTTGGGCAAGACACTTTCCCCTACTTTGCCTTTTAGGATCGCGGAAGTATTCGTACACTGTCTTGATGTGTGTTTGTAAATTCAAGATACTGAAATGTCCCCACTGTGGTACAAATGAAACGCCATCTTCTGTAACACTTTCCCTTAAAGAGGTAATGCCTTCTCTGTCAAAGTTTAGCTTTGTTTCCTGTTTTATTTTGTATTTTGTTACTCCCTGTGTCTTCTTTAGTTGTACTTCCTGTCTGATTACCTGCCCCATCCTCATGCATGTCACTTGTGTCTCGTTAGTCTTGTATCTAAACCAGTGGGGGCGGGTCCCGGCTCAAAAGTGGCTAAAATGACGTGCGCTGACATGCTGCAATACCACCCCGAGCCTGTGGGGGTGGACCCGGAATAAGAATTAGCTAATGCTAACATATAGCATTAGCTGACCTCTTGAAAACGTCTTTACAGGACTGTCCAACAGTGGCTCTTGGCCCAAAGCTCCGTTTCAAATGTGTGTCAATGCTGAGGGGAGTGTTCTGGACCAGTCTAGTTTAGTCGTTGTGGACTTTTGAAGCCACTCCGTATATGAATGGGGCTCGTGCAGCTGACTCATGAGCAGATGCGTTTTTTCACATTTTCCAGCCCCCGCGGCCATTTTGAAACTGCCCACAGACCGCTGAAGTTGTAGTACATTAGTTAGAACAACAGAGATAGGTTTACAGTCTATGGTCTAAACCCTGTGTGTTCTGTCACTTCCTGTTACGTCTTTGTCGTTCCTCAGATTCACTTCTTCTCCTCGTTCCCTGTGTTTTGGATGGATTTGTTTTATATTTTATTAAACCCATTATATTACGGTTATGCGTTTTTGGGCTGATTTCATTTTACCCACGCCACATTCTCGCTTGTTCCAGTGCTCAAACATATCAATGGCCTACTTTAAATTCCTCCTAAAAGCTGCTTTGTGAATTCAAATGCAGCGTTGGGATCTCTGCGAGGCCACTGTCGCCGTCTGTGTCTGCTGCGTGTACAAATATTTGACCATGCTTTCACATGTACTGCATCATCCAGATGGAGTGGTTGAGTTGTTCTGCTAATGTCCATTCATATGCATGTGGCCAGACACAGAGCAGGCGTGTGCCGCGCTCTGCCGCACACATTGTGAGTCCATGTTGTACGACACATGGCCGTTGTGTCGCCGTAGAGCGCGCCTCAGATCGGGATTAGCTGCCAACACTTCGGCCGTAGCAACATGCCAAATTTCAAATTAATGCCTTGTCACAAAATGTGTTGAGGCTCTGCGCACGCTGGCAGGGGTCGCACTCCAGCGCAGCACGATAATTGTGTTCTTAATGTACAAAATGAGACTTTTATTTAGGAAAAAGAACACTCATTTGCACATTTTAGGAACGGTGTGCAGATGTGTTAACTAAGTTTGTGACTGTTTGTTAAACGCTGCGAGGAGGACAAAATGTGCTGCAGGGATCAAACTTCATCCATCTTCTTCCCCTCAATCCATTGCTGCGTCTGGGGGTTGGCAGTCAGACCTGCAGATGATCCTCACTGATCCTCCTGCTCCTCCTGCTCCTCCTGGTCCTCACTGATCCTACTGCTCCTCCTGGTCCTCACTGATCCTCCTGGTCCTCCTGGTCCTCACTGATCCTCCTGGTCCTCCTGGTCCTCACTGATCCTACTGCTCCTACTGCTCCTCCTGGTCCTCACTGATCCTCCTGCTCCTCCTGCTCCTCCTGGTCCTCACTGATCCTACTGCTCCTCCTGGTCCTCACTGATCCTACTGCTCCTCCTGGTCCTCACTGATCCTCCTGGTCCTCCTGGTCCTCACTGATCCTCTTGCTCCTCCTGGCCCTCACTGATCCTCTTGCTCCTCCTGGTCCTCACTGATCCTCTTGCTCCTTCTGGTCCTCACTGCTCCTCTTGCTCCTCCTGGTCCTCACTGATCCTCTTGCTCCTCCTGGTCCTCACTGCTCCTCCTTCTCCTCCTGGTCCTCACTGATCCTCTTGCTCCTCCTGGTCCTCACTGATCCTCCTGGTCCTCCTGGTCCTCACTGATCCTCTTGCTCCTCCTGGCCCTCACTGATCCTCTTGCTCCTCCTGGTCCTCACTGATCCTCTTGCTCCTCCTGGTCCTCACTGCTCCTCTTGCTCCTCCTGGTCCTCACTGATCCTCTTGCTCCTCCTGGTCCTCACTGCTCCTCTTGCTCCTCCTGGTCCTCACTGATCCTCTTGCTCCTCCTGGTCCTCACTGCTCCTCCTTCTCCTCCTGGTCCTCACTGATCCTCTTGCTCCTCCTGGTCCTCACTGCTCCTCCTTCTCCTCCTGGTCCTCACTGATCCTCTTGCTCCTCCTGGTCCTCACTGCTCCTCTTGCTTCTCCTTCTCCTCCTGGTCCTCACTGACCCTGCAGGTGCTGAGTCCACAGGAGGCTGCTTTGTCGGTAGATCTTTCAGAGGGGGCTTCAGGAAAAGTGGGTTAAGTGTCTTGCCCAAGGACATGACAGTTTATGACTTGTGAAGGAAAGGCAATATACAAAAAAAGTTGATTGATTGATAAACACATTTTGATATCAGAAAAATCAAACAAAGGAACTCTCTTCTTTCGGCCCCAGACCAGACTGAGCTTGGCCCCTGCTCTAGTTGAACCCAGTCCTCTCCCTGTTTCATTTATCCATGATATTTTAATGATATATGTGTTCGTGTTTCAGAAGCCGGGGATGGACGTGGCGGACGGTTACGTGACGTTTGTGCGTCACTCCCAGGACATGCTGCGGGAGAAGGTCAATGAGGAGGTGTACGTGGAGAGATTATTCGATGTGAGTAAAGCACAAAGTGATGACATTTGGATTGTGAGCCTTTGGAGAAGCAGATTAAACCATTCAAGTCACTTTTATCAGCCCACTGTTCATGATTAGACTGTGATAATCTGCTCCACACCTGCCTCTTGTCTCTGGTGCAGTATTATCCAGGACTGATCCTTTGTGTCGCACTCATTTCACCTTTTGGAACTTTATCTGTTTTTACTGAGCCTGGCCTGAGCCGTCCGTAAACGCCGGTTCATTAGAAAATTCTGCACAAACGCTTGACGTCACTGACACCCAGGGCTGGACTGGCCATATTTGGGCCGGTCTGTAAGCCTCATACTGAAAACATTTTTGTGAAATGTGTAAATCTGTAGAGAAATGTTGCTGTTGTTTGTTGTATGAACTTGAACGGGAGTCCACAGGCCGCAGTCTGACTCAGGGCAGATGCGGCCGCTTTGTAATGACAGCGGTTTCCACTTTGGCAACAACACGATGAGCGCGCCGCCGTAACGTGGCCACAATAAATACACTTCTGCAAGAAACAGATCTAATAACATTATGCATTGATTTAATGGCCTATGTTCCAGTCTCATCGCTGTAACAAACAATAGTTTTGGTCTGAGTCCATCTCCCTCACTCTGTAGTCACATGTTCATTACTCTATTGTGATGTAAACTATTTTACTATTTACTTTATTTTAATTGTTGAAACTGTATTCTTCCTGATCCTCTACAGTATGTGCTTCTGCATACCGTATGAATAACCATTTAAAAACAAGTGAATAAAACCACACCCGAGGCATCAATACAGCAAAAATGGACGAACATGTTGGAAATGATCATGGACCAGAGTTTACACATGGTAAGACCAGACGTACATGTTGGAAATGACCATGGACCAGAGTTTACACATGGTAAGACCCAGACGTACATGTTGGAAATGACCATGGACCAGAGTTTACACATGGTAAGACCAGACGTACATGTAGGAAATGACCATGGACCAGAGTTTACACATGGTAAGACCAGACGTACATGTAGGAAATGACCATGGACCAGAGTTTACACATGGTAAGACCAGACGTACATGTAGGAAATGATCATGGACCAGAGTGTATGGATGGATAAGACTGGGCCACTAAAGCAGCGGCTCGATGGGAGGAGCTCGTTCTGAGAGTAGAGGCCATGAGAAGGGTTTGAGGTGATTTCTTTGCCTCTCTAATAAACAACAATCTACTCCTTCTTTTACTCTTCAACGCTCAAAGTTTTACTCGGGTCATGTCCTGGCTTCACCCATGTTTTAGTACAATTCTGTGATTTTACGTCTTTGCAGTTCAGTTGTAGTTGGAGCCGAGACATCTGCCACTGTCGCTGGTGTTTGCAGCCGAGCGGATTTCATTAAGCACTTTGTGAGTCGGCAAACACCACTTCATCTGTTCAAGAAGATAACACTTTACCAAGACATAAAACAGCATTCAACACCAGGGATAATGAAATACTATACGTTATGGTGGCGTTTTACTTTTAACTTTCAAACCACAGAGAATATCCATAGAAAGTATAGATATATAGATTACACAATTATATCATTTTGAATATTCCAACTAAAACAGTCCTGTCACTAGTTTTCATATGCTTTCTGTAGATCCAGGACTGAGGCTGTAGGTCCAGGACTGAGGCTGTAGGTCCAGGACTGAGGCTGTAGGTCCAGGACTGAGGCTGTAGGTCCAGGACTGAGGCTGTAGATCCAGGACTGAGGCTGTAGATCCAGGACTGAGGCTGTAGACCCAGGACTGAGGCTGTAGACCCAGGACTGAGGCTGTAGACCCAGGACTGAGGCTGTAGGTCCAGGACTGAGGCTGTAGGTCCAGGACTGATCCTATTCTTATACAAACATTGTATAATAGTAGTGAGTAACACGCTGCAAAAAAACGATAAATTATGAATTTAGATTTTCCAACGGGACAAAGCTGTTTAGACTTACTTCAAGAACTGCTGCTTTATTTTCTCATTCCAAGGGAGACATTGCTATATCTTTTTAAAACAACATCATTTTGCTTTGTCCCATTGGAGAATGTTGTTTAAGGCTCAGTCAGAATTTTCTCAAACTAAGATACAAATTTTATATACATTTCTTATCATAAACTTTTTGCAGTGTAGCATTGAGGCCCCAAGATTCTATATTTTTTCAGATGAATATTACATTACATTGACTGTTCTTGATCTTGATACTGATTGTGATTCACCCACTATTCAAAGTATCCGTTGTATGAACATAACTAAGTGTTGAACTAACGACAGGTGCCAGTCCAGGTGCTAGTCAGTGCTGTTTTGGATTTCTATAATTGTGAAAAAGGTGTTGGTTATAGATTTGTTGTTGACAGATTTGCTTTCTATCCAGCTATTATGTTTTCAGCTGGATTCGTCTGCATATCTGGCAACCTGCAGTACCACTTTTGGCCAGTATTGCTCCTTTAACCAGCCTTGCCTAGGGACTGAATTCAGACTGTTCTGAGCTTTACTAAGAGCTTTGACGGAGCTGAAGGTGGCTGAATGACAAACGTTTACCGTCTCACCAACTATAACATATACTGTAAGCGCCATTTATGGAATTTATTAACATAATCAAAATCAAATCTCAGTATATACAGATAAAAAGAATAGCTACGTATAGCATGTCTATACTGGCTGAGCTGACTGAGTTTGTGATGCTTTAGAAAGGCAGAGTCGGACCGCTTAACATGACACAGAAGGCCGCAATTGGCTCTGGGGCCTTGGTTTGGATGCCTGGAAAACTCTCATGAATCCTTCCCTAAGTGTTGAATTAACGACAGGTGCCAGTCCAGACCAAAGGGGGTCCATCCAGGCGGAAACACTGAGAAAAGACGCAGAAGTGAGTCACTGCTGTTTTGCACAAGTCTGTCTTTAAGGCTTCAGAGCGAGCTGCGTCTGTCTGATCCACTCTGTTATGGCCTCAGCGGTGTTGTGCTTATGCGAGCCCTGAGGAGAAGCGCTCTACCCCGGGCTCCTCTTCAGCAGGAGAGCAGTTGTTGTCAGTCTGGATCAGCTCTCCCCGCGGCTCCACCAGGCCACCGAAGGTTTCTGTCGTTCTCTCTCCGCCGCCGTTGTGCTTTTCTCGTCTGTGTCCTCTCTGTGCGGCGTCTGCCTTCACGAGGTTACCATGAGACTGGAGCTCTCCTCACTCTTTCACATGGCGTTTGGAAAATGCAGCCGTGGCAGGAGCTTTGGTGTGTGCCTTTGTCTCTGTCTGGTGCACACTGCGGGAGTCTTGCACAGTTTTTCCAATGTGGTTTTACTGCAAATGGCAAATACATTCTTGAGTCTTGAATCTCTCAGGTTTGTCCTTGTTGCCGCAGTAACGATTTCACACATACTGTATCGGCAGTAACAAGGGCAAGGGTGATTTTAAAGAGTTTTTTGGGTTTTTTAACCATGTCACGACGTTGTTTCCTCGTCAGTAACAGACCTGGAGTTGATTTTATCTCTGTTCATGCTAATATCAGGACCTTCTGGCACAGACATGCTAACTCTGACCTTTCTGTCTAAAACAGAGGGGCCCAAATGTTTTAGTAAATGGGCTACTTACGTGGGCGGCACAGTGGGCTTTCTGAGTGGTGTTTGCATGTTCTCCCCGTGTCTGCATAGGTTTCCTCCGGGTGCTCCGGTTTCCCCTTCCACTAAAAACATGCACAATAGGTATGAATGTAAATGAGAGAGTGAATGGATGGTGTTGGAGCTGATGGTCCAGTGTGTTCTGGACTCGCTTCTGTCATCACCGTGTGTGGAAGGACTGGAACAATATCTGACTCTGAACATTGTAAAGCGCTTTGGGTCTGTGCCTTGGTCTGTGAAATGCGCTAAATAAATAAACATTACTTACTTACTTACTTACTTTAGATTCAGTAGCAATATGTAAGATTATCTTGTCAAGTCATCATTAAAGGGCCCTAGTCAGGGAGAGTGGGAGAGGCTGCAGTACCACTTTTGACCACATTTGTATATATTGCTCCTTTAACCAGGCTTGTTTACCTGATATGCAGATGGGGCCGTAACAACTAAACTGACAAGAGATTTGTCAACAATAAATCTATAACCAACTCTGTTTGAACCAATTCCGTGCGTTCTTTTTTTGTGTGTTTTAACTGTTGATTCTCTGATTTGTGTTGTTGTGTTGATTTCAAAGGTTTTGTTAAGTCTCTGAAATGATACTGTTGTGATTTAGGGCAGTACAAGAATAAAATGTATTGTGTTGTAACTTCTGCCCCAACATTTCAACAAACTGAACACTTTTCATGATTCAGGTTTTCCTGACTGTTTGCCGCCGTTTTAACCCTATTAGCTCATTTACCAAAGCGCCTTGTATCGCGTCCTCCCAGAGCTGCGCGGCAAACACCAGGACAAGTGCAGTGTCACTGGAGGTCTGCTTCTAGTGTTTGCCGACGCCAGCATTACACATGTCACCATCAGCCGGGACAATGTGGACCATCTCCTCCAAACCCAGAGAGGCCACCAGTGCAGACAGACCGCATTCATCCAGGGTGTCTCAGCCCCGGCACAGAGCTCATTTCTTAAAAAAAGAGGGTCAAAAGGAGCCCCTAATCTCTGCTTTATGTGCTGTGCCCCCCCCCCCTTGCTCACCCCCCCTCGCTGAGCCGATCTGCTAACTTCGCCCCGTTTCCCCTGGTGAGGATTACAACAGTTGGAGAATACCCGGCGACAAAAGGCCGGCTTGTTATGAAGCTGTGTCCAGGTTCACTTGTTTGTTTACTTCCTGTCTGACAATGGCGGACCCCGATGAGACCGAGGCTCGAGTGGCTTTGGGGCATTCCATCCCGGGGCTATTGATCAGGGCATTAGGGAGGGCTAAATGGGCTTCTCTGCGCATGTTAGAGTCAGTGGGCGATTTTAAGACCCAACTTAAGTACCAAAAAAAGTATAATCTAATAATTTATTCATTAGTAAATAAATATAGAGCTTTATTCGCTAATAAATCTACTGCACAATACAATACAATTTATTCTTGTATTGCCCTTAATCACAACAGCAGTTTTCTCAATGGACATAACAAAACCGTTGAAATCACCAACATAGAGCTGCACGATGTTGGAAATTAGAGCGATATTCGATATGAGTGTTTAGTATTGCGATAACAATAGTATTGCGATAACAATAGTATTGCGATAACAATATTATTGCGATAACAATAGTATTGCGATAACAATAGTATTGCGATTTTTTTTCTTTCACCTAAAATTGCATCTGCATTAAAACGCTAGAGACAAATAACAAAAACATGACATTCAAATGCATATATTTATATACTCTTGTTTGTTGAATGTCGATGTTTCTGTTTTGTTGTCTTTAATAAAGGGGAAAAAAAATATTGCGCATACTTTCGATCTGTACAGTATTTTGCCTGCACCAATATCGCGATGAAGATGTTTTTCCCGTATATCGTGCAGCGCTACCAACACACATCAGAGAATCCACAGTTCAGACAATACTAACAAATAAGTCCTTTTCAGACACACTTTCCTCAATCTTCAGTTGGATTTCTGTCATCACCGTGTGTGGAAGGATTGGAACAATATCTGACTCTGAACATTGGAAAGTGCTTTGGGTCTGTGCCTTTGGGTCTGTACCTTTGGGTCTGTACCTTTGGGTCTGTACCTTTGGGTCTGTACCTTTGGGTCTGTACCTTTGGGTCTGTGCCTTTGGGTCTGTGCCTTTGGGTCTGTACCTTTGGGTCTGTACCTTTGAGTCTGTACCTTTGGGTCTGTACCTTTGGGTCTGTACCTTTGGGTCTGTACCTTTGGGTCTGTGCCTTTGGGTCTGTACCTTTGGGTCTGTACCTTTGGGTCTGTACCTTTGGGTCTGTGCCTTTGGGTCTGTACCTTTGGGTCTGTACCTTTGGGTCTGTACCTTTGAGTCTGTACCTTTGGGTCTGTGCCTTTGGGTCTGTGCCTTTGAGTCTGTACCTTTGAGTCTGTACCTTTGGGTCTGTACCTTTGGGTCTGTGCCTTTGGGTCTGTGCCTTTGGGTCTGTACCTTTGGGTCTGTACCTTTGGGTCTGTACCTTTGAGTCTGTACCTTTGGGTCTGTGCCTTTGGGTCTGTACCTTTGGGTCTGTACCTTTGAGTCTGTACCTTTGGGTCTGTACCTTTGGGTCTGTACCTTTGGGTCTGTACCTTTGGGTCTGTACCTTTGAGTCTGTACCTTTGGGTCTGTGCCTTTGGGTCTGTACCTTTGGGTCTGTACCTTTGAGTCTGTACCTTTGGGTCTGTGCCTTTGGGTCTGTACCTTTGGGTCTGTACCTTTGGGTCTGTACCTTTGGGTCTGTACCTTTGGGTCTGTACCTTTGGGTCTGTGCCTTTGGGTCTGTACCTTTGGGTCTGTGCCTTTGGGTCTCTACCTTGGTCTGTAAAATGTGCTATATAAATAAACATTAACTGATTTTAGGACCAAACTTAAGACCTACTGAAAAAAATAAAAATAAAATCTTGGTGAGATTTATTTACTGTTAACTCTGATTTATTTACCAATACATTTATTTACTTATCTGCCACTGACTAAGAAGCAGAGTAACATAACGTCTCTCATTCTCGACAGACGAGATCATAAATGTTGTTTGTTTCATGTACGTAATTTTGTTGCCTTTATTTTATTTGTTTTACGCCGTCTACATAAATACTGATGCTTATTATTTTAATGGAAAGTTTTTGTTGCTTGAATGTAGTTTGTCATTATTCGATTATTTTACTAAATTTAAGATACTTCATAATCTCAGAGAAAAAAGTCTGAGCAGTGAGTTTTTAAGCTGGTTTTTACTGTTTTCTTCTTATTTCCAGAAAACTTTTCTCAAAACTATTCAAGAAATAAGTAAATAATACTTAAAATATGTGTTTTTTTTAGACTAGAATCAAGTCGTTTTTTTTATTATATTTTATATTTTATTATAATTTATTATTTTCAGAAATGTAAGTCATATTTTCAGATCACATTTATCCCGGTTGGAACAGGGCCTCTCTGAGTGGAGTTTGCATGTTCTCCCCCTGTCTGTGTAGGTTTCCTCCAGGTGCTCCGGTTTCCCCTACTACTAAAAACATGTACAATAGGTCTGTGCCTCCTGTACTGGCCCCTCCCATCTCTGTGTGGAGGGAGAGACTAATGCCCACAATAATAAACCGCTTTGACTCTGGTCTGAGAAAGGCGCTATATAAATAGATATTAATGACTTACATACTCTCAACTTTTAAAACAAACTCTCTGGTCTTATTGGACGAGCACGTATCACCAGAATGATTGACACTTGGGAGGACCAATAGTCTTGATGATCCACCTGGAACTAGAACATCCTCCAGTATTCTTGGGTTTCATACGACGTCAGGGCAGTGAAATAACAAACGTGGGACAGGACGTGACGTATCCTGGCGGTGCAGTCTGCCGGGTTTATACACGGAAATATAGTAGAAGAAGAAGCGGTTTATACACGGAGATATAGTAGAAGAAGAAGAGGTTTAAACACGGAGATATAGTAGAAGAAGAAGCATCTTTTTGTGCGGTGTACGCTTGTAGCAACCGCACAAATAGAGAAAGACCAGAGTTTGTTCATGTTCCAACTGTGGTCTCATATAAAAGAGGACACTTTGAAAAAATCACTGGAATGAGGCGGGCGAGGTGGATCAATCAAGACTCTTTTGAGAAATATTTGTTAGTTCTTCCTTAGAATTGAGTGTCCCCGATTAAGACTGTTCCAACAACCGTACACCGCACAGGAGGAGAGCCTTTGACTCCAAAACAGACTTTACATGGTTTTCAATGGGAGCAACACTGTCCCACCTCTGCTCATGCGCCCCCTACTGGCCAGGTTCAGGAAACCCAAGAATACCTTTAACCAACAGCTAATACAGCACTAAGCCTGATGTATCTTCCTGTGTTTTTACCTTGCCTTTTGTCTTTTGTTGCGTTTTGAGAAACTTATTAAGTGCAAAAAAAGAAGAGAAACGTTCATAGATTTCTTCCTATTCCTCCTATTTTTGAAAAGGGGGAAGCTACAAAACAAGCTAGCAATGTGTTTGTGTGTATTTGTAATTTTACCGTTTGATAAAAGGCACAAAGAAGGTCTGACCGAGTGTAAACATCTGCCAAAACAAGAACGGGACAA